CCCCCCCTCTATTTCAAGCCTCACAGAGCCCCAACCCTTCCCCTGAGCAGAAACAGCCCACCTGATATTTATACCAGCCCTACAGGGGTTTCTGGGTCACCAGTTAAATATTGCAACTGGTCTGAACCTTTGCGTGGGCCAGATCCCAGTTCCTTGTAAATAGTCGAGTCCAACAAAGACTTGCAGGCAGTTTCCTGTTTCTAGCAATAATTCTTCTGGTTTAATTGCACCTCCTGGGCAAACGTGGCGAGATAAGTAAGTGTTGCTCCTGTCCCTGCCGAAGCGAGAGCGGCGTAGCTTGACGTTCACGTGAAGAACCATTTCAACTCGAAGGCGTCACGTCTGCTCGTAGCGTTTCGTACCCCTCTCCCGCGCGGTAGCTGAACAGGCACAGGTAGGTTGACGATTTTAATCAAGCAGGTTAATTTGCTTCATCCCCTACGTCAGCTCTCCTTACCCACCGCCCCCAGCAAGGCTTTGTGGACTCTGGTAGAGGTTTCACAGCGCAGAGCTGAAGCTCGAGTCTCCCGCTTGTTTTGACCAAATTCCTCCTTTTTGCAAGGTTCAGACGTGGTTTCTACTTTTTGTATATGAGAACAGGGGAGCATCTCCCATTCGCCACCTCCAGTGCAGTACCACTTTAGCCATTTTGTATTTATTGGTGATACAACCCAATAAACCTCATTTTAATGAATCTCAGCTCTTCTTGTGTTTCTGGTGCGGAGTCCTTGAACCTCAGCTTTCCTTCGCCTGTGTTTAATGTTTTTCTGAGCGCTCTCCCCTCCAGGAGAGGGCCAGGAAGGGGGATTAGGGAGTGCCAGCTCACCAGGTGCCGGCAGCCCTTCAGCGTCGCAGCAACCCCCTCCTGCTCCCGGGAAGGCAGGATCAGCCTCTCCGGGGAACACGCAGCCCCACGCTTTGCTCCGAAGAGGAAGGAGTCGTCCAAGACTTGCCTCGCTGCCCACAAATGATGCTGCACGGGAGTTTCTCCATCCTGCCAGAGGCATCACGACCCCAGGTAAGGATAATGTTCAGAATTAGAGCTTGGAAACAGACTCCTTGGAGAATTAAGTTGACTCTGTCATGTCGATTTAGTTTGGAAATAGAGTCCAGAAGCTGAACAGGTTTTGTTCATGCCTAAAAGTAAGAGCCCTGCTTCATTCCAAGCGAGGCTGGGGATGCGTGTGGCAGCTGTGCCTTAGCTGAACTCAGGGGAAAAGCCAGACCTAGCCCTGCTCAGCAGGAGGGAGCTCCTATCACGAGTGCTTTAATCAACTATTGCTGGGGGGAGCTCTCCTTTTCTGGGAGAAGTTTAAAGCTTGCTTGGTAATAATTCAGTACACAAGCAGGGGTTCTTTTTTTCTTCTCACACTTTATTTAGAGTTAGCCTGCATGATTCACTAAGTACTTGTACACTTTACAACCCAGTCCAGGAAAGCTCCTGCATGCCCCATGTGGACACGCACAGCCCCTGCCTTGATCTTTGGTTAGAAAAAAAAAGGCTTTTAAAAATAGTCACTATCCAAAAAGGAAAAAAAAAAAAACAAAAACCAAAACACAGGTTTAGCTGCACCCTAGAAGAATATGTTACAACAGATCTGCCACTGTCCAGGGCCCCACACAGGCTGAACAGACATAAGGTTTTTTTTCTTCAAGTACCTTCTTCTACAGAAGAGCTTAACTCAAACGAAACATGAGTAGAAGACTCCAACGCGAGCAGTCCGAGCAGACTGAGCATTGGTGAGAACAGAACCACGAAGGCCACTGCTTTTGCACCACGGAGCAGCGCTCTCCCTCCCCCGGGATTGCTAATGCCAGACCGAGCTCCCCGGGGAGCTGCACGGCCCAGATCCCCACCGCCGCCTACTCCCCACAAGAGCAGGGCTCGCTTCCTGGAAGAGCTAGCTTAAACAAAGCACCTTTGCTCGCTTGAGTAGGCCAGGAGTGTAGCTACTTACACCTTCGCATGACTAACGTGCACATGCTTCAGCTTCCAATAAATATCTGTGACCTCAGCATAGGAAATTCCACTTCCCATACAATAAATAAAGATATTGCATTTTTCTATCGGCCTGTTTGGGAGTCAGTTTGGAATGTTGTTTTCAGTGCTAAAGAGTCCCACGTTAAGCGGTCAATGCTTCCAGCTCTTTGGGTTTCCACAGCTTCTTGGCAGCTATGATGGTGTTCTTCATCAGCATGGCAACCGTCATGGGCCCAACTCCGCCGGGGACCGGCGTGATGTAGCTGGCTTTCTTCTTCACCCCTGCGGGAAGGAAAGGCGGAGCTTAGCATGCAAGTCAAGAGCAGCAACGCTTATCAAGCTGCCTGGCCAGAATGAAGCTGTCACCAGTCTAACATCGCTTAAATTCCTTCGAGATTGCCAGCTAAGGAATAGTACTTCCTCAAGGTGGACTTTTTCCCCCTGGCATCCAGGGCAGGACGGTGCACACCCCAGTCTGGCCATCCCTGCTACTGAGCAAGCAGAACTGCAAAGCCCAAGGTGGGGGAAAAGCTAAAAGCAAGGTCCAACAGCTGGACTTACAGCACAGAAGTGTCAAGATCAAGATAGATGGGGGCTTCACAGGTGCCCTTGAGGGCGGCCACAATAAAATACTGACAGTCTGAAGATTCACCCTCTCCCTTTCTTGCAGGAGGAGCTTCCAGCACCTTTCACCAGGCACCTGGAGCTGCAGGGCTCATCACAACAGCCCACCCAGACACCGTGGCAGCTATGCGGTGAGCAAGGCTGGCAACTAGCAAGCCAGAAGGTAAGTTCTGCACGTTTTCATTTAAAAGCATGAGTACAAGTGATGAGTTGGAGTAGAAGCAAAGCAACCTAACTAAGCACTTAGGTCTAGGATGAGTCTCCTGTGCCTGGCAGCGTACAGCTCTCCCAGCAAAGCAACCTAACTAAGCACTTAGGTCCAGGATGAGTCTCCTGTGCCTGGCAGCGTATAGCTCTCCTGTGGCACATCACAGGAAGGCTGCGCCCTTGCACACGGTACTGTGTTAGGTGCACCAGGCAAGACAACACAAGCGTTGGTCTACGTCTGCTCGGTCGCACGAACCGGGACCTTCTCCTCCCCTTCTCAGCACCCTAGATGTTTAATGCTCCAGGAACCAGACGCAGAGCCTCTCCATACCTTCAAAATCCACATCCCCAACCAGCCGTGATTTGGCAGTGACGGGATCCTGCACTCTCGTTATGCCCACGTCAATCACTGCAGCTCCTTCTTTGATCATGTCAGCTGTGATCAGGTTGGGTATGCCTGCCAGAAGAGAACAGAACCGCACGCTCACGGTGGTGCTCAGCAGCCCCCTGCTCCCCCTCGCCCCATCTTCACCTTGTGTTTTGACCCACCTGAGCCTTCCTGCCTCACAAAACGGTTGGAGTCAACCTTCAGGGTCTTTCCCAACCTAAAAGATCCTCCGAAATGCAAGTCCAGCAAGCTGGAGCAGCATCCGAGACCACCGCGACCCAGCTTGGCAGAGGCACTGGCTTCACCCAGGGGCTGTAAAACCCCCGGCATGGCAGGGAGAGCAGGGTGGGGAGCAGCAGCTTGGGGCTAAGGCACCTTCTCAGGGTGGGGTGCATTTGGTTCTGCCAGATACCGCCTCATTTTCTCTCCTCCCTCCCCGCAGACGCCCCACATCAGCTCGGCTCCTCTGCTGACAGACTACCCGCACACCAAGGGCACAGCCTGGGGGAGAGCACACCTCTGAGCGATTCCTTGTGCTCCGCAGCTGTCCCTCAGCATTTTGACCACATCTAGGTAAGCAGATGCTATCTGGGTGTTGTTTTCTTCTTCCCACATGAATACCAAACTGTCTGTGACAGAGCCTGTCTATAGCTGTTCTCTAGATCTGATCAGGTGCTCACTGGCATACCAAGCCCTCCTGCCAGATCTTAATTCACATTTCAAAGGCAGAGCTACGAACAGCCCCGCTAGTAAGATGAAGTCTGTGGCTCCCAGGCTTAATCACATGTGGAGTCGTGAAACGGCCTCCGTGCTCGCGGTCTTAGCCCTGGCCTAGGGCAGCTGCTGACAGCCACGAGAGCACAAGACTCTCCTACAGACAGGGAGGCCCCAGGACACTCAGCACCAACAGGGTCATCTCCTGGAAGCAAGCATTGCCATCAGAAACACCACACAAGCTGCGGCGCGGCACCCTCGGTGCGTCTGGCCTGCGCCGTTCGAGTCGGGGTCT